TATATATATATATATATATATATATATATATATATATGTATGTATATAGGTTCGGTTATATAAGGATTAAATTGCTTAGAAATCAAGTTAATTGATAATGAAATCTAGAAACCTATTTTGAGTATATGTCAAGTAGGTTGCAAGGGTTAAACTTTTAATTGGTAATATGTTTATGTGGGTTTAACATTATGTGAACAAATGTCAAGTTAAGGGTTTGTGGTATGGGCATGAATTGTCAATAATGAAATTGTCAAGTATATCAAGTTAACAAGTAATGTAATATGTGATGTGAGAAGATCAGGGTTCAGAGGATTTGGATTAGCTTTTTTGTATTTAAGTTAAGCGTGATATAAAAGCTTCGAAAGGTAAGTTATTGGTTTGGGGGTCTTCTAACCTATGTTGTTCCACCACTATCCAGTAGGACTTTGGTTTATGATTGTGTGATTGTACATTAGATAATAGTATAGTTGCATTCGTCTACCACATGCATATGTTGTGATATGATGTATTGGAATATGATATGTTGTGATGTGATGTGATGTGTGATGTGATGTGATGTGATGTGTTATGTTATTATGTGATGTATGAATTGTAAATTATGTGTAAGGCTTCCTTAGTCAGACTTATGAGGACGGGAAGTATATTTCCATATGTCGGACTCATGAGGACAGGAAGAAGACTTTCGTATGTCGGACTCATGGTTCCGAGAAGTATATTTTCATATTTCGAATTCATAGTGCTGGGAAAAGACTTCCATATGTCGGACTCATGGTGCAGGGAAGTATATAGTGGCACTCATAATGTGGGACATAGCATTGGAGTATAGCCTTGGATGATATATATATGTGTGTGTGTGTGTGTGTGTGTGTGTGTGTGTTGGACTCTCCTAATGTGGGATATAGCCCTAGAGTATAGTCACTAGATATATTGTGTATATGTTGAAATATATGATGTATGTTATGCTAAGTTGTCTGACCTTTCATGCAGTAAGTGAACTATAGGGTAGAGATTGCTCATAACCCAGAGTCTTATTTGGATTCACTTTTCACCCCACCATGGAGCTGTAATTTAAATTACAGGTAGCAGGGAGCAGGAACAAACTAAAAATCTTAGTGGCTGAGGATTGGATATGATATTTGGAGAGGTTTGAGATGTTAGCTATAGTGTATTCAGGATCTGTATAGGTTTATGGAGGTGTATGTTTATACTTTTAGCTGAGTTAATGTCAGGATTGGCATGAAGGCATATTATGGATGTATGTTCATTTATATGGATTAGAATTGTTGTCTACCAGGTGTTGATTATTTAGTGGGATAACAAATCCTTGGATTTGTCTAGTTTGCAGCCGTTATGTTGTCAATGAGGGTTCTATTCAGAATGGTACATGATATTATATTCGGATAGTGTTATGATCATCAGTCATGATCAAAAGTTGTCAGGTTTAATTTTTGTACAGGTATGGGACTCTATGGATGTTTTAAAAAAGGAAAGTTAAGTAACCTTTTTATTTAAGAGATAGTTCATTATTTGTTTAAGTCTTCCGCTTTAGAATTTAATTATTCAGCGCTTAAAGTACCATATATAAGTTAACAAATCAGCTCAGGAACGGGGTATTACATAAAACACTTTTGTTAATTTTATTTGTAACTTTCGTAATAACTGTCTAGCATAAATTGAGAACCCTTTATTTTGAACATGTAAAATTTATAGGGTCCATATACAAAGAGACTGCAATTGCATGCAGTTATCTACTTAATTAGGATCATTATCTTCTCCGAATCCCGGATAGGGAAAGATTGGGTTATCATCACATCCTTTGGCCTTATTGTCACAGTCTATAGGCGTTGTTCCATGGTAATCAACACATTGATGGACTTCTGCATGATAAGTGTTTCCATTTCTATCTGCCTCACAAACTATGTCAACATTGACACCAAGAGTAGTCCTGAACACATGCAGTATCCTATTTGGTGGATACTGAAATCCATTGGGAATAATACCTGACATCACAAGCACACCAAGTTGTTAGTATTTGGGTGTCCTAGAGACAATCTTATGATTAAATAAGGACATAGATGTAGACCTTTTTAATATTGTCGCAAATAAATAAAAGCACTCTTTATATTGTTTCATAATTATGTCTCGATATTAATGTTAATATATTATGAATAACTTGATAAACCCCGTGGAATAAAATAGGTATCTCTTGAGTATCTGTGATGAGATCACAATCATGAGGATTCAAGAATATCGGATGTGTATTCCTAATTTTATGTTCCTAGTCTAGAGATACTGAGAATGGGGTCAGTAATCTCGGGTAAGACTAGCACGACTTATCTACTTGTATATGGATACAAGGTATAGACCTCATGTGCTACAGATATGGAAATGTCTTAGCTAAAGTCGTGGGTGGACCTATAAGGGTATAGCTCGCACTGAACGGACCCTCAAAGAGACTCTATGAGGAAATCTCACAGATAGTATCATTAGAGTAATCTCTATATATTTGGGTATGTCTTTCCTCAGACCAGAAGTTATCACTTAGACTGTGTTCTAGAAGGCATGCCTTGATTGTATACCTCGTATGCCTGAAACATGGAGACTCATAGGTTGCTCTTGGGCTTGTCCTGATAGGGCACATGGCTAGGGTAATAAGCTGAAGGAATTCGTCAAATCTCTGTGAGAGATTAGGTTATCCTTAAACCGGAGAAATCGGGATGACATTTACAGTGACTCGGGAATCTATGCATAGTAAAAGAGATCATAAGATGATCTGCCTTTAGAGTCAGTAAATTGAAGACTCCCTATTTCATAAAAAGCTAACCCTAAACCGCAAGGGTTGATGCGTTTCCTTACCCTAGGTTTTATGGGAAGGTAACCGAGACGAAAGGACAAACATACGGCAACCAAATATGTTTAATAGGATGATCAAATCATTAATCTAACTAGTTCTGGGGCAACAAAGCTTGCTAGTGCTCTGTGTTGTCATTAGATGGGTTGTGGGCTTATTGGGCCCAAGCCCATTTATGTCAGTGGCTAAGTTGGACGTAATGGGTCAAACACAAACACCTAATTGTCTAGATGCTCTAGCATTAAAGGTATTGGGCTTAATAATAGTTATTAGCCCAAGAAGTTGTTTGGAACTCCACCTAAAGGGGTGGAGGGCGCATGGATCATTGTAATGGACTTGGATAGTCCAAGACATTACTAATTAATTTAATTAGTTAAATTAATTATCAAACATTTAAATTTTGAATTTTGGAATTCGAAATTTGAATTTTGAAATTTTGAATTTTGAATTGAAATTTCGAAATTCGAATTTTGAAATTTGGATTTTGAATTTGAATTTTGAAATTTGAAATTTGAATTTTGAATTTGAATTTTGAATTTGAATGTTTGAACATTTGAATTTGAATATTTGAATGTTTGAATTCAAATATTTGAATTTGAATTTGAATTGCCTATGACAGGTTGTTTCATAACAAAAGGATAAGATGAGATCTTGTTGGAACAAATCACTAGTATCATGAGAGAATCTTTTGGACAAGATCCAAGTAGATTTTGGACATAATCCAAGGCTATATATGGCGCTGATTTGGGCTGTTTGTGAGCAAGATTTGCTCATCAAAATCAGCTCCAGAAGATTCAGTCAGTTGGGAGAAAATCTGAGTGAGTTGATTCAAATTTGAATGCAACTACTCAGATGTATCTGGTCACCTTTTTGGGCTATATGGGGCGCACTATATAGCTGATCTTATGAAGATTTCCGATCAGAATTTTGAATAGGTTTTGAACCAATTCTCTAGAGAATATTCCAGGAGCCTGTTAGCAATTTTTGAAATTAAACAGCTCCACTTCTCTCTCTCCAATATGGCGCCTAATGATCAGATTTTCGGGAGAAAAATCTGATTGATATTTTATTTTAAATACTCTCCTCTTATGCGCCTAAGTGGTCAATTGTTCCTCCAAGGGTTTTTTCTGAAAAGCCTAGCCTATTCTCTCTTCTCTCCTGCGCCACTTGTGAAGCTTTCACATTGAGAGCTTCACTCTTTCAAACACTTTCACCTAGCCTCCATCTTCATACATAGAGCGCCTACCAAGCCTCTTTGTGGTGATCATCCGGTGGCTTCACAAGAAGGAGTTCTTGCACCTAGACGAGTGGGTGGTGTGGATCAACGTTAGAGGGTCTGAACCCTTCAGACCTGCCTTGATCATCTGGTGATTTCACGAACAAGGTAACATCATGCTTTCCTAAAGCATGATCTTGATGTGCATGTATATTCCGCAAAGAAAAATTTTGTTTTCCCTCTTGCATCCATCCATTCAGAGCCCTGTAACATCCCACAAAATTAAGATAAATACAAGGTACTATGAGAAATGTGGTTGCATGATTGGAATTCGAATTATGTGTTAATATATGTGTTGTTAGTGGATTATATAGTTATTCTTTCGTAGAGTGGAATTAATTTAAGAAGGGAATTGATTGATTCGTCATGATAAGAGAGGAATTATTTCTAGGCATGTGAAACTTTAATTAAAAGTCTTGGGAGTTTATATTTTATTGGTAAGTACATAAGTTAGCAACATTTTGGGCTTGTACATTTTTGACTCCCAATCCTTGGTTGGCCGAAGCCTTAGAGCTTTTAGAAGTGCCTTGATTCAGCCCAATATTGTATTCACCTTTATCTCATCCTAAGAACCTTACCTTGGCAGCCATTGATTGGATAGCAATCACCACATGGCAAGAGCCCCATCCTTGTTTCCTCTCTCTGCATGTGCGCCTAGGATGGGTAGGAAATTCTAAGTTTTTCTTGCTACCTTATCCAAAACCGAATCAGCCAATGCATGTGTAGTATGTGTCACACAAATCTCCTCTCTCTTCTTGCATGCGCGACACCTAAGCTAAGGAAATACATGAACCTTTCTTGATATGTCACGGCTCAAAAGGTTGCTCTTGAACAAGAAATCAAATTCTCCACACACTCCATTCTATCCCATCTTCCCTCTATACATGTCCGCCACCCTACACACAAAGGGGGACATTTGGACATTTAATTCCTTGCTCCATGATTCGGTCAGGCTTCAAGCTGTTTAGCTTGCATGTTCTCTTCATTCTCTCCTCCAATCCGTGAGGCTACATAGGGAGACAACCAAACTTCTAAAATGTTGTTCTCATTCTTTTTTCTCGCTCGACCGCGTGACAACAAGCAGGGAGATGCGGACCATAAGTTTCCATTCCTTACTCTCCTTCACCGTTCAACCGTAGATCAACCTTAGAGAGGTAAGGTATTTTGGTGATACTCATTGGCCATTCTTGCTCTTTTTCTCCTTGGACCGGTTTCTGATTAGGCTCTCCATTTTCTTGTACATGGCACTGCCTTGAGTGAGTCGCTCTACCTCTTGCATGCGGTTGGTTGTGATTGGAGAGTGAGGTTGAGGTACTCCGTCCGTGTAACTAATTATTGGAGACTTGAAAGAAGGTAAAACTCTAACACAAGTTTCTCCCCAACCCACTGCTCGACTTGCATGTACAGTTTAAGGAAATTAGCTCTTGAAATTTTATACCCTTCTCCCTGCCATTCGATCCTACCATGTTAATTAAGGGAATAATTTATTTTAGTGATTTCTCTGGTTTTGATTTCTGCTCTCTGAACCACCCTTGGAATTGAGGTGTAGATATATTTAAATCTAAAGCTGAAATTGGTGAGGTAGCAACGTAAATTGTTGGACCGTTCTTTTTATAAAATATACAGCCCTGTATATTTTGAATTCAGTGAGAACAATTAAAGAAAACAAGAATGTAATTTTGTCCCTTCTATGCTATTCTTTTTGATCTGCCTTTGCATGTAAATTAAGAGAAGCATCTTGTGTCATGTTATTATCTGTTTCTGCCTTTGGACAGCTGGAGAACCGTGAGCCTGCATGTAAGAATGAGTCACATATCCAACTTTAATTTCCCTTAGGTGTTCGGTCTTCTTTGGTTGTTAAGCAGATGTATTATTTTAGAAATTCCTTTGGCCTTATTCTGTTTTGTTTAAACTGTCTTAGGAGTCTAGAAATGGCTTTCATTAATTCTTTATGGAGTGTATCGTGAATTGGGAAGATTAATTAAGTGTTTGCAAGTGTTAAAGTTTTGGAGACAGCATGTAGAATTTATTTTTTTTCTTTTCTTCATGCCTAAATGACGTGATTAGAAGTGGTGTAGGAAAAAGAGTGAGCACCTATTTAAGGGCTTAGAAATCGAATCAGTATACCTATAGACCTTGAGATGATGTCAATTAAGAGAAATTTCTAGAATAAATTAAGGGCAGCAAGCTATCGATCTGGAAGTATGATAACTCAGTTAGAATCTTTGAATTTTGTTAACGGTCTACATAGGCAGTGTGCTTTAAGCCCTTTTGCGCACCTTACACCTTATATGAATTAACATGTGAGTGATAATAGCGCTCTAATTGTTGGTCAAATCCGAATATGCATGTATAGGTAATTGAAATATTTTGTTATTTGACAACAATTGGTAGGACAACTTAAGGTAGAAATATAATTGAGGTAGAAAGCATGAAACCGAACCTACATGCATGAAAGATATTAAATTATGTTACTTATTATTTATTGGTAGAAATAAGCTCAAGGTTAAAATAATTAAATTAATATAATGGCAGAAAATTCGCTTAGTATACAGACCTGGGAACTGATCACAAATCAAGGTCTTGGGAGAATGGGAAAGCTAGGCATGTATAGGAAATACTTGTGATAAATTCTGACTTGGTACATATGTTTGTTAGGTGTGCTAAACTCTAATTGTGAGGGCTGATTGGTGATGTTTGAAAAGAGAATGTTAAAGACTTGAGGTATGTGTAGGCGGTATTACCTAATGTGACTATTGGCTAGTGTATGGAATTGTGATGTGTTGCTCACATTTGTTCTATGTATGTTATGATGATGATGAGCCAATGGTAAGAATATGAAAGAATGATATGATATATGCATGCATTTTACATCATAATACATTTTTCTGTTTGGTGCGATTGCATAACATGGCATGTATACTTGATTCATGACATCTTATATATATATATATATATATATATATATATGTATTGAGGACATGTGACTGAGCATGCATCATATAGGCATGCCTGGTACCAGGAGAGGGGACACTTGGCTTCAGTCCGCATAGGTTCCACAGTGGGATTCACCTTCATGGGAGCCATTAGGAATACCCACTGTGATGCTACGCGCACGATGGTGCTATGAGCGTAAAGGAAAAAGGGTGTTATATACGCGTTATGATATATGATGAAAAGGATTAAATGTTTGAAGTGACTATTTATGATTTTGTGCCTAGTTAATATTGTTGCATTATGGTTTTGTTGCCACACTACTGGGATTTTCTCTCACCCCTTTGGGGCTGCTATTTTTACAAAATGGCAAGAGGACGTAAAAGCTTTTGAGGACTTGGATATTTGCTGTTGGCTTCTACTGTTTGGGCATGCTGCTATTGATGTGATATTTTTTGGATGACTGTATGAAATTGAGAAGCTTTTATTACTGTGAACTATGATTTTATTATTGCATTACAATTTTATGACCAGCAAGTATTTTGGAAACAAATGTTGAAACGTTTGCGAAAAGGATTTTGACATGTTATCTAAATGCTGAGTTTTGAAAAGTCTTTGCGAGCACTTTGTAAGTTGTCGTACTGGGGCTACGGACTTCCGATTTTCTTATAATTTATATGCACGCGTAGCCACAAGTGTCTAGTTTCATTATATATAAACCTTGCAAGGAAATTCTGAAGGATCGATTTATTATGAATTTTACCAGCCAGGACATTTGTGATATTTCCACTATTTTCTCAATTATTTTGCGAGTTATGTTTCGAGGGGCAAACGAACTCCAAATCACTATTATTTTATATGAACGTGAAGCCCCAGAGGTCTAGTTTCCAGATTACAAAGAATATATTTTGGAATCGTTGGACTGGATTTTTTACGAATTTTTAAAGACAGCAAGGTCTATCAGGAAATTTATGTTTTTAATAAGTTTAAGAAATTTTGTGTACTTTGATTTTTGTAATTAACCAGATCCCCTCTTTAGTTTTAAGACATCTTCAACCACACCTTCAGGCCTCTTGATAGATCTATCTGCAAGATGCAGAATAAGATTGGTCTCCTTTAAAGTGTTAATTCCCAAAGCTCTACATACTGTCAACGGCATCAAGTTTATACTGGCTCCCAAATCACACAATGCCTTTCCCACCTCCACATCTCCTATAGCAATAGAGATACTGAAGCTTCCTGGATCTTTCATTTTTGTTGGAAGCTTCTTCTGGATTAGGGCACTACACTCTGCTGTTAGGGCCACTGTCTCACCATCAGTTAATTTCCTCTTCTTAGTAAGAAAATCCTTCTTGAATTTTGCATAGTGAGGCATATTTTCCAGTGCTTCAGAAAATGGTATGTTAATTTGTAAATTTTTGAAGATATCCAGAAATCTTGCATAGTGCTGCTTCTGAATCTCTTTCTTCAACCTCTGAGGGTAAGGAACTTTAGCATAGGGAGATAAACTAACTGGCTGTTCTTTCTTGTTAGCCATCTTCTTCTTTTCCCACTTCATCATCTTTTGTGGGGAAGCATTTTTACCAACTTCTACCTCTCCTTCATTCTTATTGTCCTTCCCTTCCTCTTCTTTGTCAACTCCAACTATAACATCTCTAACAACTACTTCCTTCTCACTTTTCTCATTTCTCATTTTCTCTCCTTCATCATCAGAGACTACATCTTCAACCACAACCTCTTCTTCATTCTTTTTATTTTCCACCTTCTTTTTCCCTGGTTGAAGTACCAACCCACTTCTTGTCATAATTGCTTTACAGTGCTCCTTAGGATTCACCAGTGTATCACTTGGAAATTTCCCTTGTGGACTCTCTGATACCTGTCTTGATAATTGACCAATCTGGGTCTCCAAATTTCTGATTGATGCTTCCGGATTTCTGAAAGAAGTTCTGGTCTCCTGCATGAATGCAGTTGTCTCTTCCCTGAATGAAGTAGAACCCTAAATATAATCTTGAATTGTCTTAGATAACTGAGCAAACGCTTTCTCCCATGCAGCAGGATCACTTGACTGCTCCTTCATATGTGGTGGTGGAGGATGTAATGGTGGATTCAATTGGTGGTTGGAACTATAGCTGAATCCTGGGTGTTGATTCTTGTTTTTCCATGGTGGCATATAAACATTCTTTCCCTGATTGTTGTAGTTCCTTTGATTATTCTGATCATACCACACTCCATTCACCTCTGCTTGTTTTGATGATCCCCCATAATCACACTCCTCTGTCACATGGCCCTTACCACAGATAGCACATACCCTCTTTGTTTCCACAGAAGCTACCTTTTGTGAAGAGAGTTGCTTAATAAGGGTATCTAATTGTTGCTGCTGTTGTCTCTGTGTCTGCATCAGTTGATCATTCCTTGCCAACAAAGCATCATACCCATCCAACCTGATAATTCCTGTCCTTCTGTCAGCCACTGGAGCATTATCAAATTCTTGAGATGCTAATGACTCAAAGATATCTAAAGCTTCTTGAGGGGTCTTGGTAGTCAATGATCCACCAGCAGTGGCATGCACCAAGGTTCTAGTGTTAGTGGTCATTCCTTGCAGGAAGATTGCTGCTTGTTGCCATGCCTCAATTCCATGCTGTGGACATTTCCTCAACAAAGTCTTGAATCTCTCCCAAGCCTCATAAATAGATTCTGACTCTTTCTGCTTAAAGCTTGTAATTTCATCCTTCAACTTGGCCCTCTTGGATGCTGAGAAAAACCTTTGCAAGAACTTGGTTTGCAAATCATCCCAAGTTGTTATACTTCCTTGTGGCAATGATTGCAGCCATCTCCTTGCATCATCCGTCAGTGAATGAGTGAATAGTCTCAACAGAATTGCATCTCTTGTGACACCGTTTATCTTCACAGTATCACTTAACAATAGGAAGTTCTCTATGTGCAAGTAAGGGTCCTCCGCACTGGTTCCAGCAAACTGATCCTTCTGCACCAAATGTATCAAAGCAGGCTTCAATTCAAAGTTGTTGGGCTCCACTGTTGGGCGCACAACACTCCCAATTGGAGGAACCACTGCAGCAGTCATGTACTCTCCCAGTGTCCTCTGTGGTGGTGGTGGTCTGTGATTCTCTGCCATTATATCTTCCTGATTAACCGTACTTGATTCACCAATTTCTTGCAACTGTCTCCTTTGCCTGGCTGCCCTTTTGTGCTTCCTCAATGTCCTTTCTAATTCTGGATCATATAACAACAAATTTGGATCAAGTGTACCTCGCATGTACCAGAATCAAAATTGACCAGAAATTTAACATAAACTAAAATACTGAAAATAAAAGGATTCAATCTCAGAATTCTATAGTATCAGTTAGTGTTGAAAAATAAATTCCCCGGCAACGGCGCCAAAAACTTGTTGCGGATCTAGCAAGTGCACTAGTCGTACAAGTAATAAAATGATGAGTAAGATCATTCCCACGAGGAATTTTGTTCAAACACCAATATACCATAGAAAACTAATTTGAATCAAATAAGAGTTTGTAAAAATCATGAATAATTTGTCACCAGAAAATTGATTTTGAGTAAATTGACACAAGTAAATATGGATTAGGAATTAATAAAAACAACAAGTAGTCAGAAAACAACTTTCCTCCATGATAAACCATATAAGAATTGATCATATGATGAATTCCTTTCCATGTGGTGTTAATCAACCTTTTACTTATCATCAAGATGTAATCCCTTACTACCCTGATAGAAACATTAATCAGAAACCCCAATCCCTTGGTGATTTCTTTCTTAATACATGCATGAAATACTAAGGTTTTAAGATTACATCAGAACTCTAGCATCAATCCCTTGAGTACTAGAATTCTGATGTTGAGATTATCAAATACAGAAGTCATATAAACATCCCTATTCTATACTACTTCATTGATAGAAATAATTAACTCAGAAAATCTCAAATCAGCACATGAAAAATACTTCATCATATTAATCAAATCAACATAATATTATCATGGAGTTCCATTGCATTCAGACTACAAAGACTCTACTCAGACATGACTAAGGAATAAATAAGAGAAGAAGAAGCAAACTTCATTTCCATGTTGAAAGTCTTCGATCTCCAAACTATTACAAGGAAATCCTAATACAGAAACTAAAAGAATTTAGAGAGAAGTCAGACTAAGTTTAAGAGAGAGAGAGAGTTCAGATCCCCCAAGATTCTCCTCTAAGTGTCAAGGCTTTGCCTTATATAGTGTTACAATTAAAAACAGAAAACTGATGTGGGCGCTAAAACGTCCATAAGTGGCCGTTTTAGCGTCCATGCTTTACGTATGCTCAACTGCTTTTAACTGATTTCAACGCTAAAACGTTAAGGAATGACCGTTTTAGCGTCCAAACTTGGTGAATGCTCAACTAACTTTAACTGACTCCAACGCTAAAACGTTTGATTTGGACGTTTTAGCGGTGAAGACCAGAATCTTTTTCCACTTTAGGGCGTTAAAACGCATATTGCAGGCCGTTTTAGCATCCAAGACCAGCAATTTTCCATCTTCTTAGTGTAGCAGCGCGCTAAAACGCTCTGTGTGGACGTTTTAGCGCTCATCACCAGCAAGTTTTGGCCTCTTCCTGTAACAGGGCGCTAAAACGCTCAGTGTGGACGTTTTAGCGCTCAACACTTAGGCAATTTTTCTCCTCTTGAGCTCCAGAATCTTCTTCCTTCTCTAGTTGTCTTTCAAGCTTGCTTTTCCTACAAGAATCATACAAATTTCCAATAAAGCTCTTGAACTTGTAAT